AGCGGCGCGCGGGCGCGGAGGCAGCGCGGGCGGCCCAAGCCGGGCGTGGGGCGCGGAGGTGGCTGTCCCGTGACTCGTCCGGACATTTTTGTCCTGTGAAGAATTGGCACTGGCGCGGGGGTGTTCCCCCGCGCGCGGCCCGAGTCGTGCGTGGGCCCCGGGGTGTCTAATGAGGGGCGTGTGGTCTCGTGAGGAGTTAGGAGTTTCTCCCGAAAGGTGAGGACCGCCCGGGAGAGGGTGTCGCGCGGCCGAAACCACGGCGAGGGGTGTCGGCTCTCTGGGCAGGCTCGGAGGTGGCCCGGGGGACGAATCCGGATCGACTTGAGGGTGTCCGCTGTTAGAGGAAGTACCCCAGCCCGTCGGGAGCCTTTGCAATGTCCCCTCCTCCCGCTCCGAGTGGAGTGAGACGTGCGGGGCGTGGAGTCCTCGTCCGGCCGCAGGCGGGACTGGCTGGGCCCGGCAAAGTAGTGCCCGGGAAGGCGCCGGGCGCGGCCATGCGTGAACTTCGGGCTGCAGGGCGGCCGCGCGTTGGGGGGACGCGGGCACAGGGGCGAGTCCCGTATGGGGGTGACTCCGGTACTGTCTTGCCTTCCCTCCAGCAGGCATCGTGGGGGCCTCCGAGAGAGGCTGTCTTGGTGGGTTGTTGGTGTTTCCGTACTGCAATGTGGACACTTCCTGTTCACCATCTCCTTTAGGGCCCTGGTTACCTCTGCCCTCGAGTCATCTCTTTCCTGGCGGGGTGAGAGGTCTGCGGTGGCCGAGGCCCTTCAATCTTCGGAGTTTGCCCCGCTGCTGCAGCCTGTCTGGAACCCAGGAGGACAGTGGGAGTCAGGGGGAAACAGCCCAAGTGTACAGTACTCCAACCTCCACTCTTCCTTAACTCCACCCCCTTCTTCCTTTTGCAGAATGCCTCTGTTCTATCAAAGCTCACTGCAGTTGGGGTGTCGAGTTCGTTGGGGAGCTACATACTGGACTTTCTTGCACTTGATTTCTGCTTTAAAGTCTCTAACGCAGTTCCTCTACTTTGTTTTCTTCTTACGCGGAAAAAAAGTCTTAACGCTCAAAGAAATGATACAGACTTTGTTCTACCCCGACTCCGGGTTGAGGGGAGGAGGGTGATTATTCTTTTCCAGGTTAGTTGATACTGTTTCTCCTTATCTTCCTTCTGATTGTGACAGCCACGTGGCCGGCTGAGTGCCAAAGAGAGCTGTAGTGGCGCTAGGAGCTGGGGTTTCACTGGTAGCCAAGGGCTTTGTAACCCTGCTGTGTCTTCGCATGTACATTTATCTTGGTACTATGTGAGAGAGGAAGTGGAAAAAGCAGAACCGTTCATGTCTGTAACTGTACCATATGAATCTTAAGACTTATCTCTGTATCCTTGCAGTCCTCACAAGGTATATATTGACATTTTTGCCTTACTCTGCTGTTTTGATGATTCATCTTTAAAATCTCAGCCGTAATAGGTAATCAAGACTGATGGGGAAGGATACAATAGTGCATTATAGAGATGCCCAACTCTAGGAAAAATAAATCATTTGGATTTAAAAATCATTAATAGGAGATTCTCATGTAAGCATCAGAAATCATATTCCAGATTTATTTGTGATACTTTTAGGAAAACTCATATTTTTCATTTTGCATAAAAATTATTACCTAAAATTTATAAATACAATTTTTTAGGAGTGAAATAAATGCTAGTTGTATTGGTGTGTTTTTTGGGAACAATACTGAGAGATTAAGAGTGATGTAAATGTTAAACATGAACGTATTTTAAGGGAATGGAAGTAATTTTTAGACTACAAAAAATGAGTTGAAGATACAGCAAACTATTTGGAGAGTTTGGAAGATTTTAAATACAACACTTGATTGCTAATACATTATGTTTCATTTTTTGAATGCTTTGGTAGATTAGAATTGCTTTTGTAGCTTATGTTTTTATTTCAATCAGTTTTACTTGAAGAATGCTTAACCACAGGAAATATTTAAATTTTGTAAAAGAAGTGCATAGAAAAGTTACTGTAACACAACTTATTTTAATTAATTAATTAATTATAATTAATTTTTAATAGTGGAGTTCAATAGGTGAAGTTATATTGAAGAGATACTCTGGGCTTCAGGGCAGAAAAGATAATACAATTAAGAAAAGAGTAAGTGCTGACCACTAAGCAATGCTTAGTTATGAAAGGTAATTGAAGTGATGAAATACTTGTATAAGGCAAGAAGTACTGGGAACATATTTGTGAATATAACCAACTTACATTGTTTACTATGAAATCTGTCAAAACGAAACCTTAATAAGTACTTCCTAAACAGGACTATATCTTGTTCTTATGGCAGCTTATTGCTAAGCTACTTTTTATGTTTTTTTTTTTTTGAGAGATTTTTGCTATAGGGCGTGTGCGCTCGCCAGCCAGACAGAGAGAGACATAGAGACAGAAAGCGAGAAATCACCCCCCAGGGGGGACGGTCACGCCGCAGTCCCTTCTCCTCCATTCTCCTCTCGGGATTTTGGGCACACGTGCACACGCGCCCGGCATGAGTTTTAAGCCACCGGGTCCGGGATGTGAACCACGGTCGACTTCGTGGGAGTCCAGTGACAAAGCCATTACGCTAACTGATGGTTCCCTTTATGTATGTTTTAAAAAAGAATTATCTTATTTAACTTTATTTATTCATTTTAATTTGACCAGAGAGGGACAGAGAGAGAGAAAGAGACAAAGTGAGAAAGCAAGCCGCCAGGTCTGGGATTCAAACAGCAGTTGGCCATGTGTGACTCCAATGCCCTCAACCACCTCACCACCTGCTGGCCCCATGTATTTTTAATATTTATTTTATTGCTTTTAGATTATTGTTATTTTAGCAGGCGGGTTTTTTTTTTTTTTTTTGGAGAGGTTTTTGCTATAGGGCGTGTGTACTCGCCAGACAGACAGAGAGACAGAAAGCGAGAAATCCCCCCCCAGGGGGGATGGCCACGCTGCAATCCCTTCTCCTCCATTCTCCTCTCGGGATCTTGGGCATGCACGCACATGCGCCCAGCGTGAGTTTTAAGCCACTGGGTCTGGGACGTGAACCGCGGTCTACTACGTGGGAGTCCAGCAACATAACCATTACGCTAACTGCTGGTCCCCCAGCAGCTGGGTTTTACATAAACATAAAAATGTTCTCCAAAAATAGTTATTTTTATTAAGTTTGTTTATTTTTTCTGTGAATGAGAGAGAGTGACTCAGTACCCACAATAGGATCTTGACCTGGCAATCTACCTCCAGCCTCAGCCAGCCCTGGATCATAGGCACGTGTGTGCCAGTGTACACAAGTAGGTTTCTGGACACAAACCTGGAACCTTCCCGTGTGTGTCAGCCTTGCAGTGTCATGTTTTTGTGGTTGTTGTTTTTTTACCACTGCTTCACCATTTGGCTACCCAAAAATAGTTTTGAGGGCCTAATTCTTCTCTGATTTCTTTTTTTTTTTTAAGAATTATTTTAATTTTATTTATTATTTTAATTTTTTAAATTTGGCCAGAGAGAGAGAAAGGGAAAGCGAGAAAGCAAGCTACCAGGTCTGGGATTCAAACCGTGATAGGCCATGTGGGAGTCTAGTGCCTTAACCACTACACCATGTACCGGCCACCTTCTCTGATTTATTTATTTATTTTTGGAGAGGTTTGTGCATATTTTTTGGAGAGGTTCGTGCTATAGGGTGCTTGCGCTCGCCAAACAGGCAGAGAGAGACAGAGAGAAAGGGAGAAATCACCCCCTGTGGGGAACGCTGTAATCCCTTCTCCTCCATTCTCCTCTCCGGATCTTGGGCATGCATGCACACGCGCTGGGCCTGAGTTTTAAGCCTCTGGGTCCAGGACTCGAACCACAGTAGACTACATGGGAGTCCAGCGATATAGCCGTTACGCTAACTGCTGGTCCCCCTTCTCTGATTTCTTAGGGGTATAAAAGAGGTATAAGGGGCTGGACTTCCACATGGTCAACTGCAGTTTGAGTCCCAAACCTGGCAGCTTGCTTTCTCTCTCCCCCTTTCTCTCGCTCTCTTTGATCAAATTAAAAATAAGTAAATAAAATTAAATAAAGAATTCTTCAGAAAAAGAGGTCCAAGATATGACCTTTATTTATTTATTTGGTGAGGTTTTTGCTATAGGGCGCGCGTGCTCGCCAGACAGACAGACAGAAAGATAGAAAGCAAGAAATCACCCCCCAGGGGGGACGGTCACGCCGCAGTCCCTTCTCCTCCATTCTCCTCTTGGGGTCTTGGGCATGCACGCACATGTACCCGTCGTGAGTTTAAGCCACCGGGTCTGGGACTTGAACCACGATCGACTACCTGGGAGTCCAGCAACATAGCCATTATGCTAACTGCTGGTCCCATGATCTTTATCCTTAAGTTGAAGAGGTTGGTACACATGTAAAAGAGGTTACAATGTGAGAGGATATAATTAGAAGTTAAACTAGGCTGATATAGGCAGGTACTATAAGACTTAAGAGATAGACCTTGGTGGGCTTAAATAGAGGATGCTCCTTAGGGCAAGTAAAACTATTGCTTTCAAAAGTGTAAGAATATTACTCTGATTAATCTTCCTGAAGATTAAATCACTCTAATGACTAACACTCCTAATTATATTAAATTCTTTTATTTTTTCTTTATTTTTTTCATACTAAATTCTTTTCAAGACTTTTTAAACTTTGGTTCCAGTCTTCTCCCACTAACTTTTTTTTTTTTTTTGGCTGATACAGTGTACTTTATTGATGGTTCATGACAAGGAGGGCTCCTCAGCCCATTTCTCACTAACTTTTAAGAACTGTTCATTATTCACTACTTTTATCTGTACTATTTTGCTTCTTCATATCTTTATTGAGCTAACATTTTTCTGTTATAAATACTCTGTACTCCTCTCTACTGAGGAAAAATTTATTCAAGGTCGAGGCCTAAAGTTTATGTATTTCTACCTTTCATGAGTGAGAAAAACACAGGGAGAGACAATGAGATAACATCCCCAACATGTTCTTTTTTTTTTTTTTTTTTTTTTTATGGGTTTTTTGTTTTAGTGGGTGTTTTTGAGAGGTTTTTGCTATAGGGCGTGTGTGCTCACCAGACAGACAGACAGATAGAAAGCGAGAAATCACCCCCCAGGGAGGATGGCCATGCCACAATCCCTTCTTCATTCTCCTCTCCGGATCTTGGGCACACACACCACACACACACACACACAC